GAATGACTCAAGGAGTGGTGGTTCCACTGCAGACGCACCTGGATTTATCCTGATGCATTCAGAGAGGACGTTAGCCCAGACGATGGGGCCACCAAGGATCGAGGTAGAGCGAGCTGACCACCAGATGGCCACCTTGTCCAGACATGAACTGGAGGGGATGATAGAAAATGTTGCTACATCTAGGACAGTCCTACAAGCCACCTACCAAACTTTTCAGGCCACCATCCTCTCGACCACGGTGGTGGGGACGAAACAACAAGAGACTAAGATGGATGAATCGAGAAATAGGGATGGAGGTGCACGCAGAGATCGAGATGTTAAGAGGATGGCGATGCAAATCCATTAGTTGCAGGTGAAAGTAAAGGGAAATCAAGTTGGTCGAGCTCGTGGACACCCTTTCTCAATGAAAATCCTTGAAGGGCGATGCCACAAAGATTTCGGGAAGTGAATTTGACGTATGATGGGTCGACAGACCTGTCGAGACACGTGAGGTCGTTTTCGAACATGACAATTCTACATGAATATTTTGATACAGTGTGTTGTTGAGCTTTCTTAGCTACATTGCGAGGGGGAGCTCAAGATTGGTTCCACCAGCTCCCTCCAAGGTCGATCAGGGATTTTGTAGATTTTTTGAGCTTATTTTGGAATCAGTACTTAGTGTGATAGTCAAGGAAAAGATGTTCCTAATGCTAACGGCGATGAGACAAGAAGAAGGGAAGTCATTGAGAAAATATGTAGCAAGATATAATCAGGCTTGTGTAGAGATTTGATCGTCCTCAAGTGAGGTCAAAGCAGGAGGTTACATAGGTTACTTACTACTTCGATTTTTTTCGCCAGAAAAAGGTGTTGCCGGAAAATGATGAATTTTTTGCCGGAGAAATTTGACGTTCGGATCACTTACTTCACCGGATTTCTTGTCGTCGGAGTTCTTCTCGTGGATTTGGTGTAGCCGGAGAGATGAACCTGCAAAAATAAATAAATAAAGGTTGTCGGACGAGAATGGAAGATGACGGGGTGGGAGGGTTTTTTGAGGTGTGGAGAAGAAGATTGGTAAAATAATAGAACAATACGAAATGGTAATAAAAAGAAATAAGGAATGGCAAAAGACAAATAATAATAAAATAATATGAAAGTTAGTTGGTAAATGGTTGATGTCATTTTTTTAATTTATTTTAGTAGAAGGGATTTAAGTGAAAAATAAATGAATTTCTCTCTCTCTCTCTCTCTCTCTCTCTCTCTCTCTCTCTCTCTCTCTCTCTCTCTCTCTCTCTCTCTCTCTCTCTCTCTAAAGACTTTCACCCAATTCCCGAACCCTAGTCCCTAATTTCTGGTGCGCGGCGCCTCTCCACCGGCGAGACTGGAGCTCAGGACGGCACCATGGCTGACAGTGAGTGACTGGGCGAGCTAGCGCGACCTTCTTCGAGTGGTTTTATTGGCCGTAGAGGGAAGGTCCAACGGTTGTCAGGTCTCCTCTCGGCGGCAAGCGCCGACGGTCCTTTTTTGGTGGTCAATTCTCTAGTGGGAGGCCTTGTCTTTTCCCCAGTTTATGTACGTTCTCTGAAGCTGAGTCGGCAGAGACCTCCGACGAGTATGGCAACCAATTTCGTTCAGTCAATCGCGCTGCGGTTGTCGGATGTGCGGGGGAGAGCTAGGATATTGATCTTCTAGTGCTAGTCCCGATGGTGAACTTTCGAGAAGTTGACGAGTCGTCTGGTCCAGATCTAGTTTCCAGGAAATCTGTGTGTGGGCCATGGGTTGGGCCTTCTTGTTTGATTACTTTGTGCTTCGTGCTTGTGAGTGATTCAACGGTTGGTGGAGAGGGCTTTATTCTAGTATTAGTTTTTCTTTCTTACGTTTTTCATTGTGCTTTGTTTTCTTTCTCTCCTGTTGAAAGTGTGTGTCGTGTATTCTTCACTTGTGGGAGCTTTAATTGTTTTTTTCTCCTTTTGAGAGTTCTTGCTAGGCTACCAATAGTGTAGTCCTTCCAACTAGAATCAGTCATTAGCTTATTATTCGACTATTAGCTGGTTTCTAGTCTGTAATTATTTGTTTATCTATGAAAGTCTATCGTTAAAAAAATAAAAAAATAAAAAAATAAAAAATAAATAAATAAAAAGAGCCAAGTGGAAGAAGCAAGTATTAAAGTGATAAACTTGCACTTGAAGATGATGGACTTCCATACCACATTATACAAAGTCAATATTGAACGCAATGTCAAATTATCCAAGGCCAGAGCAAAGTCTTGATTACTAATAGTAAAATAGTCATTAAAAAATAATTTTTAAGTTGCAAAGTCTTTATTACTAATAGTAGAATAATCATTAAATATTAGCTTGAAAAAGTAAAAGGAAGTAGGTAGTTTGGACTTTGGAACAAATAAAAATCCTACCTACTTAATATAGCTACGGAAACACTATTTGGTCAGAGATTGAAATAAATTTTTCTTTCAATTTTAAATGTTATTCTATTCTACTTTATTTTATTTTTTTGTGTTTTCTTGATCAAATAAATTCCACCAGTTCTTATTTCTATATGTCAATCTGTATCGTATCAGTCCATATTGCTCTGTAAACTATCTATGGTACTTTGTAAAATTCACTTAAAATATACATATATATATTTTAAAAATTCTATGTTACTATATACAATATATCAAATTAATCATATTTTACAAAACTTTGATTTTGACATTCATATTGAACATATAAATTAAAAAAATAATTATACTTCTTTTTAATAAAATAAAAAAGTTAAATTATTTATATATTATCTGAAAAGGATAAAATTATTTATATATACGTCTACTGGCACAACTTATTCGACACGATACCTGGTCACAGAACTACAACGGTATAAACAAAAAAAAAAAAAAAAACGATCAAAGTATTTTTTTTTAGGCACAATTTTCTATCATTCCTACTAAGCATAATTCTTGTAGAGCAAGTTTATTATATAATATTAATTAGAAAAAGTATTATATTCTATGACGAATAAACCACACAAATAACAAGTGACATTTTTAATTTAACAATAATATAATCTCCTAAGATTTAATATTTCTCTTTTATTTTTCAAAATTCGATATAAATATTTTAATTATTTCCATGATATCAAAATTTGATTATAGATTTGATTTACAACTACTAGTAACAGTTAGAAGAGAGGTTACAACTACTAGTCACAGTTAGAAGAGAGGTGTTAGTGGGATGCGAATAACATTTTGGACTTACTAGTTACTATTACCAGATATTTACTATCAAACCTAGACCATCTCCAGCGTTGCGCTAGAATTGGCTTTTTGCGTTGGAGTAGAGAAATTCTCGTCCAAGGCTGTGCTAGAATTCTGCGCCAGAAGAGAGACGTGAATAGTTTTTCGACATATGTGGTGCAACACTGTAACTATACGCTACTTTTTTTTCTTTTTTTGTTTATTTTAATGTAATATATGTGGTAATTTTTTTGTATTATGTGTATTAGTAAATGTATTTTTTATGCTAAATAATGATAAATAATTTTGTATTTATTTATTGATGTATTATAATTTTATTTTACAATTTTTTAATATCTATATATATAAAAAAGTTGTATTTACCTGAAATAAAAATATTAAAATCCCGCCTAAAATTTTAAAATTGCTATCCAAAGAATCCCGCCAATAGATTCGAATTTTAAAAATATTTTGATTTTATTTTATAGTAATTTTCATTTATTATGGAAACAAATTTATCTATTAATTTCATTATAAATAAGTATCATTCCTTAATATATATCACAACGTCTATATATATAAACAGATTTATCATTTTCCAAAAATGGCAACTAAATTTTTTGTCAAACCTCTTTCTTCATTAAATGCTTTCTACTTATGGCAACTTCTTTTTTTTTCCACTGACAATATTAACTAAAATCCAATCCATATGAACCGTTAGACTACAAATAACAGCAACCTTTCCAAACACCCAACCATTCAACCACCCTAATATTTAATTATTTCTCTCTCTTCCACATCATCAATGATCATCCCAACCACACCATCTCAATTTTGCAAGTTTATTAGCAACCACACCAACATCCAACCACAACCTTTTTTTCTTAATTTGATTTTATTTAATTATTATATTTTTTATTTCATTTCATTTTAATTATTAATTAATTCTTTTATTTGCTTTGATTTAATATAATTATATAATTATTTTATTTTCTTTGATTTAATATTATTATATAATTATTTTATTATACAATTTAAAAATAAAAAATAAGTATAGCAAAATTGATCTCTATTTGTAGAGAATTAAAAATTATGAATTTTGGTATATTTATTTATTTTTTTTATGATTATATAAAAAATATATTAGTTTAAAAATTATAAAAAAAAAAAGATGAACCAATGGGATGGAGACAAGTGTCTCCATTCCATTGGTTACATTATTAAAGACCAACTCAACCAAGATGGTTGGCTACCACCCAAAACCCACCGGCGGTCTCCCTACTTTTTTCATTTTTCTTTTTTTTTTCTTTTTTTTTTTCCACCTGGACACACCAGGTGTGTAGATGGTCATTGTTATTTGTAGTCTTACTATGCCCAAAAATCGCGGCTTTACACGTGAATTTTTTTGGAAAAATTTCAAATCTGCAACAGATTTTTAACAAAAAAATCAAAGCAATTCGTACAAAAAAAATCTTACAAAAATATGTTAATTAAAACTGGAAAATCGGAATTGTTGAGAGATTTCAAATCGAACAATAATTTTTTTAACAAAAAAAAATCCAAGCAAATCGAACAAAACAAATTCCCAAAACAAACAATCGAGTTCCAAGCCCAACCTGTGTTTTTTATTTGTGCAGTCTATGTATTTTTAATTTTCCGTTGAAGTTGTTAAAAATGTTATAATATGAACTTTCATCTTTAGTACTCTCTTGTGATTACAGTGACTCTTTCAAACAAGAAAAGAAAATCTTAGAACATACTACCATATTAAAACCTTAGTACGATCGACAGATCAACTCTCATGAATATCCAACGGACTAGGATCGATCTTGGCAAGATCACGAATATCCTGAATTTTATCAAACTCGGCAAAATACTCGACGTCCAATGTCAGCCATGCTTCGATCCCATCCCCCTTTCTCGTGTCCGTTAGCCATAACACGTTGACAAATGGCCATTCCACGTCACTCCCCGCGTCGCATTTTGTTATCCAGGCTGGCATCCCCCACCCAAAATCAATGCCGTAAAACCCGAAATTGCACCAGCTCGAAACCGACAAGTAATCGGCATTTTCAGGGAATTCGCTCCAAGTTTCCTTTTGAATCTCAGAGTAGCCTGAAAACCCATCTTCCCCCTGCATTTGTTTTACGAAATCGACGTCCACTTTGCTTAACGCGTTTCGTATTTTGTTGAACAAGGTTTTCAGGTCCCTGTAGTGGGAAAGCAAAAGATAATCGAATTTTCGTGATATTGAAGAGAGACCATTTTGCATATATACTCATGAGAAAAATCAATATAGGGAATGATTTTTTGACTAAATTATAATTTTAGTCATGTATGTTTCACTACTCTAACTTTTTCGTCGTCTTCAATTTTTTTTTTTTTCGATTTTCGTCTCTTAAGTTTGCAGTAAAGTTACAAAAATGTCATTTCGCAAAGGCCGCTTATGTTTTGCAAAAAGAGGTTGCAATTTCGTCCCTTATATATGCTCGGGGACCTTTTTATAACCTTTTTGCAATCATCAGGGACGAAAAAACAAAAATCAATCGAAGCGGACAAAAAAATTCGTTTAGCAGGACTGCAATTTACTCAATGATTTTTCAAGAAATATTAGTTTCTTGGATATTTGGTGAAGTGGCTCACTAATAATTCATTCTAAATTAACACCATATCTATTTTATCATATTTAAATCACAAAGAAACTATACTTTATATCGTGTTCATAATCCCGCACCTGTCGTGTTCGTCGTTATTGTCACTAGAAGCCGGCACGAGCCACACGAAATTGCCGAAACTATTGTCGGAAAACGGTGGGTTGTTTTTCCTCCGCACGTTCATGTTGTGCGTCAATAGTGATATCGACCGATCACCATTCTCGGATATGGCGGCTTTCTCATTCACCCGAGCGCAAGCCAGCATGAAACACCTCCATATGAAAGCCGACACGGTCTCGACTCTCGTCGGGCGCCTTTCGACCCCTTTCTCAGGCAGCCTGGCCCGCAGGGACTCGATCGACGTGGCATCAAACACGTACCGCCTCATCACCGTCCTCCCAAACTTGAAATACCTCCTCATGACCGAGAACAAGTGGGACTCCCTCTGCATGACCGCGTTATGCGGGAAGAGATGCTGGGCCGAGAAATCCGGGCCCAAAATCTCGTCCAGGCCTCGGGCTTTCGCGGCCCACGACTTCATGAACTGGCCCACCGTGACCCCATCCACGACTTTGTGCAGGAAAAGGGCTCCGATGGCTACGCCGCCGCAGCTGAAGTAGTTCAGCTGGATCATGGCCACGTTGGATCCGGGCCCGGGCTCAGCCCACGTGAGCTGGCTAGGGATGTGGGCCCGGGTGGCCAGTGGGTCGGGTTTCTTAAGGAACTCGGACAGGGTCGTTTGGAATTTTGCGACCGTGAAGGGGACACCCTCATCGTTGCAGTCGATGGATAGCTTGTCCTTGACCCTTCCAGCCAATGGATAAAAGTGAATCAAAGTTGACGAGAGTGATTGTTTAAGGGTTTGTGTGGTTCGGAGAATGGAGTCGGACCCGGAAGTGATTTCCGGGCTCGGATAGTATAGAACGAGTGGGATGTAAATTGGGGGGACGATTTGGTCTAGTAAGGAGAGCTTGTGGGTTTTCAAGTCATGTGGAGTTGGGGTTGAAGGCTTGATGTTCTCTTTTGAGATTACTTCAAACTCCATTTTCATTGTTCTTTAGGAACAAGGGTTGTTTTTTTGTTCACTTTTGAAAAATATTTTTTTGGTGTGTTTAGTCTTTCTTGGAGTGGCAATTGATAAAGTTAGGGAGGTTTGTGTGCTTTATATATATTTGCAATTAAAACCATGCATGCATACATATATATATACATAAGCACTAGGAATAAGTAACTTTTTATCCAATAAATGTGGAATAGTGCTATTGCTTTTTTAGATTCATAAATAGGTCTTAGAAAGTGGCTCACCTAACTATTGCTTCAGTTCTAACAAACGACACCAACCAACCCGTGGTGGAGTCGTCGTTTCCATAAAGAATAAAGAGAAAAATGAATGGAAAAAAACAAATGCAAGGAAAGAAGATAGTGGCGTTTGTGGGTAGCTGGAAAGAAATACATTGAGATGAAAGAGATATTTAAGTGGGAAATATTTAATTTAAAATATGTGAAGAAACGGGGGTTGACGTAGGCCCAAGCCCAATGAGGTTGACAGGTGCGGTCCGTTATATCATAAAGAAACTAGGGTGTAGCAGAGTGAGCATATATGGGCCTTAGTGAGGTTTCATCCTAAAACCAATTAGTAATATAAAGAGTAGTCCACTAGGCTAATAAGTTAGACCTATTTTCCCCGTATAGACGATGTGGGACAACTCACAAGTGTATATTTTAACACTATATTAGAGAATATAATATAACTGGGAGAAGACAATGAATTCGACATGTCGAAATAGTCTAGCAGGTACGATAGCTCAAAATGTATGTGTTGGTAAATAATAAATTTTGTTTAAAAAGTTTAGTAATAATAGAGAAGTATAGTATTAATAATATAACAGGTCCCAAGTTCTGGTAAAAGAGGAGGATTGTGATAGGCTTGGCGACCAACATAAAACCTAGTCGTTCTATCAAGATAAAGATGAAACAGAAGTATAGTATTAATAATATAGCAATTTGACAGTTTTATCACAATACTAACTACTAATTTCACCAAAATCCAAGACTACGTTATAGAGTTTTCTCTTGATCCGCTAAATAATCTTTATCCCAATATGTGTTACATGGCACCTGAAATTTTATATAAGATGCGTTATTTTTTTCTTTTGATGTCGTTTTACCTATGATGAAACACTTCTACTCATTGAAAGATGAAGGAAAAATTTGTACCCAAAA